TGTATGTATGTATGTATGTATGTATGTATGTATGTATGTATGTATGTATGTATGTATGTATGTATGTATGTATGTATGTATGTATGTATGTATGTATGTATGTATGTATGTACAGTCCTGCCCCACTGGACGATTACCCCACTCTACTATGAATCCGCTTTACGTTGATGTTTTTGCGATCGTAAAAAAGGGGTTTTTCGCTGTGCGATGATCGGTTGCGATCGCAAAAAAAGGGAGGGTTCGCTGTGCGATGATGGGTTCCCTGCTTCGGGACTCTTTAAAATGGGATTGCTGAGTTTTTAAAATGCATTTTAGAACAGTTTTAAACTATTTTTATCCACCAGTTTTTAATTTGACATCTGTTTAATTCTTTTTTAATATTGTAATTTCCCCTTTCTAATAGCGTTTATTTGAAAGTTGTAATTTGTCTCCAGTCTTGAGGAGAAAAGAGGGGTATAAATATTTTAAATCAGTGGTTCCCAGCCTTGGGTCCCCAGATGTTCTTAGACTAAAACTCCCAGAAGCTTTCAGGCCAGGTTTTCTGGGAGTTGTAGGCCTGTGGACCGAAGGATGGGAAGCACTGTTTTAAATAAATAGATATAACAAATAAATGTCAATCCGTTTGTCTCCTGGAATTATCCACGTAGCTGGCCACTTCAAGAAGACAAAGATTAAACTAAATGGTCTGATTCAACAATTTTCTCAAATGCACCTTCATTATATGTTTAAGAACTGTAGCTGTCTCTTGGGTTCATCTTTCTGACTGCAACACTTCCACCCACTTGACTAGTAGATCAAAGGAAGAATTGCTGGAAGTACTTCATTGACAAATTTCTTTAAAGCCTACAAGCTGTTCTCAGTCCTGTGTTTCAGTTCGTATCACTGGTTCTCTGTGGTACTCTGTCAGCAGTAACGAGGCCTTCTTGCTTTGAAAAGAAACCGGAACAACAGGTTCATACAACTGATGTTCAGAACAGCTGGCAGATCCGCTACTGTGTAGTATACCAACTGACCTATGTCAGGCTATTTTAAGTATTAACCTGTCTATCACACACATACAGTTTCAGATCATTATTTTTTTATCCCCATTTTTTTACTCTTCAAATTCTTGAAGTTTAAACACACACCTATATTTCATGCCAGACTTGTCTTTGCCTCCAATAGGATTCTATCCTATTTTTCAAAGTTTATACTTCATTTATTTATGTATTTGTTCAACCCACTTTCTCTTGGAGATTGGAATCCAAGGCAATAAATCTTGCAGAAGTCATTGAGGAAGTGAGATTTTCAATCTATGCATCAAACTTTGGCAAATAAGTTAAGCGATTACGAATAAAATCACAGTGGTCATTGTGGGTTTTTCGGGCTGTTTGGACGTGCTCTGGAGGTTTTTCTTCCGAACGTTTCGCCAGTCTCTATGGCCGGCATCTTCAGAGGACAGGAGCTCCTGTCCCACCTAATAAGGCTTATTATGTGATTTATATAATCCTTATTTGGCCTATATTTCTTTCATATTGTGTTTATCAACAAAGCCAAAAAAGATGCTGAGAATGGCTGCATTAGAGCATTGACCCTTACAAGTGGCTGATCAGATTCCTTTGGGAAGTCCACAAGCACAGTCAGAAGGAAATACATCTCTCTTTTTGTCACTGTGATTCAGTAACTTTGATTCAGTAACTTACTGCCTGAGTAAAAGGCATTGACAGAGCCAAACTTCATGACTTGGTCTAATCCCCCCTTAAATCTGTCCCTGTTCTCAGTTTGTATAGTACTAAACTCTGTAAATTAATCAGAGAGGTTCTTGTTCACATAATGGAGCTCCGATACCAACAAAATATATTTAAATATTAGATCACAGATTTTATGATATAAATGGCTGTAAAGCTCCATCCCAGATATAAAGATCTAATACTGTGTGAGGTACAATCTTAAAAGTATTGGTGTAAGCCATTAACAAAGGCTTTAAGCATTTTTTTTTTACAACGCTTAATAGGTTTCCACTAATCTGTGACAAGTTTCTCCAGTTAGCTTCATGTATATAACTAACTGTGATTTCAAAACAGATATCCTGACAACAAAGTCAAACTCTCCAGGGTCACAATGCAACCAGTGCATATGCCACTATAAATAGCATTAATGTAGTTGCACCCAACTGCACAACCTTGTTGAAATCTCTGGCATACAGGGATTAACTTCAAGTCTTAGAGGTTTAAAGTTCCATTTGCACCCTTTTGCTACTTCAAGGACATTGTCAGTAGGAAAAAAAAAACATATTAAACTGTTGCCCCTAGAATCATAAATGAATTACTGAAACATTAAAGACTAATTTTTCAACTAATTCCACCCATTTGTTTTAATTATGATTAAGTTCCAAGGCAAAATATTTGCACAGAATCTTTCAAATATAATATGAATAATTATTTGATTGGTTTCCCTCTATGAATACCTGTCAAATGTGTCTAATTGGGTTCATTACTTTCTTTGGTTCCCTATGGATTTATACAACACAACGGCTATTTTACATAACAGGAAACCTTTCTAATAAATGTGTCACAGAGGCTATTAATGACAATCCTGATGTCCTCATCTGTTTATAGAGGATACGAATGCAATTTCAGTGAGTCACAAATTGAATAGGTGGCATATTTTCTTGGAAACACTTTATTGATTGAAAAGACAGAAGCAACCCATCCAATGCTTCCACTTTTTATAATACTAAACTTCAGTGCAAGCAATATATTGTGAAATATATGTTGTGAGCTGTTCATATAGATGTTTACATTTGCTACACATAATTTCATTCAGCAGACTATAAAATATGTGGAACTTTCTTTCCATAACTGTTACCACTTTAACTTCTATGCATTATTGTACATGAATGAGTGTTTTTGCCCTCCATTCTTCCATATGTGCTTTAATTTCAAGATTTCATCAAAAGAGTGTTGGTGTCATTTAGAGTGCGAACAAAGTAAAATAGAGGGCAATGCACATCCAAAACATTGCAATCTATATGAAAACTCCCATTTGGCAACACAATAATGGAATGGCCGCATATTGTTGCAGCAATTAGAAAAGTAACTACAGTATTTGCCATTCCTTTTTTTTCTAGTTTGCATCTCCAGAAGGCATAGAGTTGACAGAACAACATGGAGTGAGATAAGGGGGGGGGGGAATAGTTGAACAGTTAGAGATAAAAAAAATGAAACATGGGGATCATTTCAGATCCAAGAGAATACTATCCTCTAATTGGACTCCTGTATTGTAAAGATGAATCCTTAATAGAGTTGTGTATTTTCACACAAATCAGAGTCACTGTCAAATGCATTTTATAACTTAATGGGGGTGTGTGTCTCCGTACAGGATTGGTAATGTTATTTTTCCTCCTAAGTGTAGAAAGGTTTGAAAATGTCATCTACTAATGCTCAATTACCATGAACATCAGTTTGAGTTATCAGTATCATATGCTAGGAAAACAAGAGGCATACTTACTCTCTGTCGATGACAAGACATGTAACAGCTTCAGCAGCAATAACATTGGCTGTCCTGACATCTTCCCTGAAAAGACAACAACATATATTTTACACACAGAATCTGCCAGTTGTCTCTGCAATGTGAACGTTAACACACTGATGCGCTGAGCAAATGACAATTATGACTTTGGGATTTATTCTACTATAATGTACTTACATGTTTTTGAAGAAACATGCAGCTCTTTAGAAATGATTATAAAACAGCACAAACATAAGAAGTAATTTTACTATGAGACAGGTTGCTCAGTCGTTTATATACCTTTTTACTAATTCATTTATCCTGGTTATTGGTGTCTGTGATTTTGCAATTCAGTGTGCTGAAAACAGACAACTAATTCAGCACCACAAGTCACATAAGAAAACACAAATATTTAGCTAATATAATAACACAATAACAACAACATAATCATCACATCATTTCTGTGAATGCAGCAAATACATCCTGATCTAAAACTACAAGTCAGCATACATAGATTTTATGCACACCTTTATTTTGTGTCTTCTTTCTTTGGGATCCATATCTGTTTTTGGGGTGGTGCATAACTGCTCTCCTTATTAAAAATCTATTTCTATTAACATAATGTGCATGTTGGTTGAAGTGCAGCCCTCCCTGCTAGCCTGATCAACAGTGAAGGATGATAGGAAGCCACCCACATCTGGAAAGCCAAGGGTTGTTCATGCTGACCTTGTGCCACTCACCACCTGCACAATAGGTTTGCAGAGTCAAAGTGTGAGAGAAGTTTCTGATCAGTACAGATGACAACTTCATCTGCAACTACATTTAGGCCTTCTCATTCTTCTGAGTTTGGCTGCATCTTTAGGAGCATCAAGGAAACATTTTTTTTGGGGGGGGGAACTAATCACTGGTGTTGTGATGAAAAGCACTTGGAGGAGGGCAGGTCCTGCATGGGCAATTAAGACCCATTAGCTTTACAGAAGACTTACAGGTGGTAAATGTGAACACCAGAAGAAACGAACAGAAAAGTATCTGGTCATTACATTAAAAATATGCTAGAAAGTAATATAATTGCTATGCAGTCTGTTACAAAGAATCCAGTATGCACCATATCATTACCATAAATGTCAGTCTGTGCTCTATATAGTGTTATATAGATGTTTCCACATATTCGGAATCCACTCTTCAGATGAGTCTGGCGTACATGTATGTGTTTACGAAATGAAATGAAATGTGTTTAGATCCCTGCCTTCCATGCTTTACACTCATAATGACCTGTGAGAAGGCTAGGATCAGACTATGGCCGTCCCAACATCACTGTTATGGTGGATCAGGAACATGATATGAATTTCAGACAAAGGCATTCTCACCCCAACAATACATTTTACTGACTCACTGTGATGGTTACCTGATCCTGAGAAACTGAGTATTGTG